TTTTTGTAAATTTTTTTCCAACATACATTTTYCTCGTCGAAAGTATTGCTAATTTTAGTACCTATTTACACACTTGCATCTCAGTAATTTAGGGCGATTCGGGCACCATTATAGTGTTAAACGTTCTGATGCAGACAATGCAATAATATATCAACGATATTATTATTTTCAATTTTTGTAGCACAGAAACAAGGAACAGACGTATTTTTACCACGTGGCTAAAATTGATCCGAGTCATTAAGCGTAATTAAACATGACACAATATAAATCGATTATCAACATTTATAATATTTATAATATTTATAGACAGATAGGTTAAACATCATATTATAAAATTTAGGATAATTACGTCATGTGATTTTTGAATAAAATAAATGAGTATGCAAAACAGTGTAACTCTGGAATCTTTACGTCGCGTCGATAACAATATTTAATATAAGCATATAATTATAGTGTATACATTATTATAAAATGTAGATATATGAGAGATATATACCAGACTATGAGGGAAGTTTAAAACGATAAAGCAATAAGAGATATAAAGATAGGCAATTACATTAAGGTCACTTTTTCACTGTGCGCAGATAGTGTAAAAGTTAAAAAACTACCAAGTACCCGATGAGTAAATACCGGTGATTTTGTTTATCGTACATGAAGTAAAATTATCTTTTAAGTTCTAAATCGCGTTCTATACTTGGTTCTGTTCAAAAAAAAAAAAAGAATATTTTATTAAGATATTTTATTCGAAAATAATGCATAAACTATATAAATATATTATCATATGGTAAAACCTCCCATAAAGGACACCCCAAAATAATGAACACCTCTAGTAGTAGATAAAATTTCAGCGCAGACCGAGAATGCCACTGTCCAGTAGTTAGAGATGTCACTGTACTACAGTATTACAAGTGGTTGGCATCCATGGTTTAATTAATTTTACTGATCCTCCCACTTCGTGAGGGGTTRTAATTGGAATGACTGATCTTTATTTAAAACATAATGTAATAACTATGTTATATATGCGACAATTTTGTCAAAAGCTATAGTTAAAAATCAACCTACCGTAGTACTAATAGAAAACTAATTAATTATATTTGTATAAATATATTACAAAATATCTTTAAATATAGAGGCTGTCACTATAATCTCTTGGAATTAGTCTTTAGTTGTTTAGGTATGTAACGAGTAACGACTTATTATTGAATACAAACTTAACAAGATAAATTATCAATTACAGTGACTGAATGACATTCAAATCAGAATTCTACTTTATACCTAGTAGAATATACATTTATATATATTAAATTAATTAATCTATAAGCATAGCCAATGTTTTAATTTTTATTCAAATACTCAAAGTTATTTATAGATCTATTTTCTGACGTCATATAATTGCTACTATGTGGTGCGATTGTATGGATATATACTTGTATGAAAGCCGTTAAAAATCCTTATTCCCATCAGAAGAAATTGAAAAAATATTTCCCTTTTTGTGTTGTAAAATATAATAACATAACTAGCTGCATTCTAAACAACATTTAAAAAGAATAATTATATGTATACATTAACAGTATAATATATTTTATATTATTTAATATTTGTTAAATGAGAAATGGGATTATCAATAAGCAGCAAAACTAAAAAAATATATTTTTATAACCACCACTGATCACTAGGTGAACCCCTAAAATTTGGCACCCGGTCAGAAATTCCACTTAATACCCCTCTAATACGCCACTGAGAACTACATGATTACCTACAATATTTATTTACTGATCTATAGCAATAGCATACGATCTTCGAGAATGTATTCTAATGGTATACATATTGTATTGTATATATAGTAAACGCTGACAACCAGATGCTCGATATAAACGATATTGCTATTCTAACGGCATGTTGGTTCAACTATAAACAACTAACAAATAATAATAATTGTTCGTCGTCCATTAGCTCGGTATTGATTGTCGTGTAAACACATTAACATAGTAAATTAAAATTTCTAATGGCAGTGAATGTGTTACTAGATAAATAATACGTATAATTATATAATAAGTCTGATGTTGAAAATACGTATTGGGTACCAATTTTGTTTATCGTCGTGTTTCAACTAAGGACATTTTGATCGTTTAATTATTTAGCAATCATCAGATTTACACATTCGTTTTTTTTTCGTCATTGCTTGCGTTTGATTGGGAATATAAAGAACATTCAATGAACAATATCAACGATGGTGTTAATAATACACTATTATAACAGTATTTGTAATAATAATGTACAATTATGATAATAAAATAAAACATAAATAGTTATTCTACCTTACGATAAATTGGACGCAACTAAACACACGTCACCGTATTTATTTTTTTTAAATTTTAGTCGATTTAATAATAATATGCAAACAGTAAAACATCAATTTATGTATAATATATTTAGAACCAAATAAACGAATGCGTTAAGAATGTTCAGTGTTCACAGTTAATATTGTTAATAACAATTATTATAAACTATGTAAACGATATGCGTTCGTTGTCTGTAGCATATTAAATATTGATAATTTATTGTTAAAATTTTAATTATTACATACCTAATAAAAATATCTTAAAATAATTTTGGGACATATTTAATTTATTATCAACCTAAAAAACACAATAATTGAAAGTAATTTCAAAAATTGGGAATATTTATTTTGTTCTAATTGGTTATAATATTTCTACAGGAGACCACAGTGGTTTGTTTATATCTTAAAATCTAATACTGTATTATATTATAGGTAATACAAGATTTTTGGAATAAAAATAAGAGTACCGTTTTAGTTTCGCACGCTGCCTTGGCTGATGTCCAAAAGACCTGGCCAATATTCATATAGCACATAATATCCATACGTATTTTATAGCCAGGAATTTGTATAGAGAATGGTTTCGTACATCATTTTTTAAACGGCGAATTTATTTAGGAAATAAATCGTCCAGTTTATTGACGTCGAACGCCTTACAAATCATTAACAAAAATTGTTTTGGTTATTGTATAGCTACATAATGTCAACATAATATTATAAATTATAATATTGAGAAGATAATTTAAAATCTTCGGAAATTAGGATTTTTTTTATTTAAACAGTATGCCGTTAATAATTGTATCATGTATGCACGGAAATATTTCTGGACGTCTTGCTATAAAATATATATAATATATATATATACAATATAAATCATTAAATACGCCCTCTCCCTGGTCATTTATGATACATATGTATAACAAGCTAACAAATCGGATTTAAATGGCACTGAACGACTGAACTGTAGAGCTTAACAGTATTACAATAATAATTATTATTTTAACGATTAATGATAAATGTGCAGCGTATATGTGACGTGTATGTTTATAATTGCTACCAATATAATTCTTTTACCTAAAAATGCTTTTATATTATAGATACATTATACGTGTTTGACCTTTGACATATAATTATAATTATACACAAATACATAATACACATATTCAAATTTTTATCACCGAAAATATTATCACAGGCAAAAATATAACTTAAAAAATGTTCTTTCCTTACCTAGTTTATTTTATGCGGTATTGATATTATTATTGTATCTTCAAGTTTAAGCGATTTGTTTGTAATAAAAACAGTTAGGTATTTTGTTACATTTTGAAATTGGATGCAAAAAAATAACACAAATCAACTTATCGGAAGTAAACTACTTATTATTATTTTTTTACAATTTAATTAAAATTATAAACAAAAATATATTATATATATATATAGGAAACATATTATTTTTTACGCTAGGTAAATATAGTACTATACTCGTACATATTGCAAGCATAATGCATATAAATTATCGATTCAGATATTATTTCAACGGATTAAAATAGAGTTACACGCCTACACTATCCGATGTTCATTAGTTAATTACCAAAAGGAATAATAAATCAATGATACCTAAAAAAAAGCTGTATGGAATTCAAGTTCCAAAACCAAGAAGTACCTAATTGAAACACTCAAGAGAACAAAGGCTGAATTCAACCATTTAAACAAAAAAATATGTTTACTACTGTAACTGAAAAAAAAATAGTTTTTAATTAATGCTTTTTTTCTCATCTCAAGGTACTAAAGAAATATGTGAAAAAATATAATTGTGTACAATATATTTATTTCCCAACAAATTTAATGWTCACTTCGTCTTTTCATTAATTTGTATATAATATGGAAGCATATCACTCCGCCAAAAGTAATAGACAGGCACTGATAATGTCCTGCAATGTACATGAACAGACATTAATTTTATACCTTTTTTTTTTGTTTTTTTATAATATTGAAAATATAATGCCAATTGTAAAAAGTCTAACGTGGCACCAAGCCACCTAGCTAGGTCTTAGGTATAGCCGATTATAAGATATATCATATAGTTTATTATATCTCATAAAGTCATAACATACTATATGAAAAAAGTAGATGTTAAAAATAAAATATCTTGTAATTTCACGTGTRGCGATATGGAACATAATATTAATATTTCGCCCTGATTAATAAGCACTATTCATTAAGTATGTTTTAATTTTGTAGGTATTCAATAAAATAGTTTACGGGATGTGTGATCGTTGTAATGAACAGTGATTTATACAAAGTAAAAGTAACTTTTATTCGTTAGTCCATGTACTCAATCAGTTAACGTCTTTCTATGACATGAAAAATCTATAAAAAAAAAAATGTTTTGGTTTTATTTTAAATATTTAAATTTAAATTTATTTAGTCTCACTTTATTAATAAATGAATGTAATGACATATATTAATTGTTCATTTGTTTTAAAAGCAATTATTATAAACTGTTATTTTATCTTGTGATATTTTGTCTTTTTTTATACATATTTTCACCGAAATATTGCCCTGTGCCGAACAGATGACGACAGTGAAGTAGTTGCCAGAAAAAAAAAATTTAACAAAAAATCTCATTGCCAACCAGCAGAACTGTAACAGACAACGGGGAGTTAAGCTCAGGCTGTAAGTACGAACGAACGCGTCAACCGAGTGTCGTGTGATGTGCTTTCGGTAGTGAATATTTTTTCTTTTAGGGGGCTCGATGGATTTTAGATGGATTTTGATTATCGCCCTGCTTAGCGTCAGAGGTAATTCGTATTTCTAATAATATTTTGTAATTATCGTTATTTTATCTTATGGAAATAATAATTATTCACAAAAAATACCTACGTATATGTACCAGTTTTGTGTATGTGTTCTAATGGGATAATTATTTTATATAAAAAAAAATATTATAAAAAATTTATTTATAATATACGTATTTTACAGAGTAGAAAATAATAAATAATAAATTAAACGACTCCATTAGACCATGCGGAGAATTATTATAATTGGAACATGACTAAAAGGCCGTAAATACACTATCTGAGTAAAAATAGTATTTCATATTATAGTGTTTGAAAAATATCAAAAACATTTCTAGACATATATTATTTTCTTTTTGGCAAATGACAATAATACTTTATTTATTATTATTCCAATAAATTATGACTAAATACTAAATAGTATTTTTTTTTTAAACTAAATTTTGTTTAATGTGAATATAAAATTAAGTTACCTACTCGTGTATAAAATCATTAACTGAAACTATATTTTTAATCTAAATTTTTCATCGTTTTTTTTTTTCAAGTTACTAGTTTTACATAATATGTTTAGCGATCCTAAAATTATTATATTATAGCGTAATATGTTTAAGGTTATAATATTATTATGAATAATATACTCTATTGCACAATAAAGTCTTTAAGCAGATATTTTAAATACCATTGAAAATACCAAATATCCTAGTTGAAGTTTTTACTTTTATTTTTCTACTATTACACATTTACAAAACCATTATGATAATATTGAAAGATATTTCAAAGTGTCCTTATTCGTCAGTATAAAAAAACGAATTTTCATAAAATTGGAAACTCCCTCACTCAACGCAATTCTGACGCTCGCGACATTTCTATTTCTGTAGGGGCATTAGGTTATGTTGTGTATTTATAGTGTACCGACAGAACACAACTGGGACACTCTGGTTGCAATTTTCTATTTTTATATTACCAGCGGCCGTCTGGGATTTTAAAATACTCTCGTTGGCGATTATTATTTTTTTTATCAATTGACTGTCATTAGTCATTGCTTATTACTTAATATTTTATTGTCCTGTCCATTGCCGATTGTTATTACCTACTTTGTTTGTACTAATTTAGTATCTGCACTGTCTTTCTAATATTATGTCTTATCTTAAACTATAGGACCATTAACTATTTCATAATTCAATTTTACTCCATCGCTAATTTTGGTTTAGATACATTTTGTGAAACTTTTGCCAGTGTACCATCGGCGTCTATAGCTCCATCGGAGGTGGATTGTCAACCATACGTAGAGAAAGCCATCAAAGAATTAGTTACTCCAGAACCTATTGGTAGTTAGATATTTAAAATTTGTAAATTTCGTTACATATTATATTCAGGAAGTGTGTCGTATTCAGGAAGTACAGAACGCGACCAAAACATTCAGAATGAAAGCCCCACAAGTGGAAGCACTCCAAATGATGATGTTACAAGCTCGAGTTCTCAAGATGGTAATTCTCCGGATGATAGCAGATCGAGTACACCAGCCGAACCGGTAAAAATAATTWCTGTGATTATGATAATAATACGATCCCGCTAAATTTATTTTTGTATAATTTTTAGGAAAAGTTCAAAAAAGAAGAAGAAACAACCAGARACGAAATAAATTTAAGTGAAGGTGTTAGTGAAATAATTGAAATTGAAAATAATATTAATGAAGTAACTGATGCTGAAGAAATCCGTCCACTTGAAATAACTGAAAAAAATCAAACATATAAAACTGAAGAAGATAATGAGATTGAAATCGTTAGTGAAGAAGAAGAAAATCTGGAAAATAATAGTATRAGTGTTGTAGAAAATGAAGTAAAAGAATCCGAAAAAGAAACTGTACCTATTATTTTAGACAAAGATTTAGTTACCAATAACATTGAAATTATAATTGATGTTGAGGATATAAAAATAAAAAATACTRATAAAATAGAAGAACCTATTGTGACCAAGATACAAATAGAAGAAAAAATAGAAGCTACTAATGTTGAAAAAAAAATGGAAATCCCYAAACAGTTATTTAAAGGAACAAAAAAAAGGAACCCAAAATATTGGAAGTTTGATCCGGACGATGAACCTGAAAATGTTGTTCCAATTGTAAAACAAAAACCAAAAAGAAATCTGAAATACTGGAAAATTGATCCCGATGAATTTCCACTTGAAGAAGCGCCTAAACCCGTTGAAACTCCGAAATTACGTAATCCTAAATATTGGAAACTCGATCCAGAAGAAGAAAAATTGTACAAGCTAGCAGAAGCTAAAAAGACTGAAGAAAAAATAAAATCAGTTCCTCAGAAAAAAAAAAGAAATCCTAAATACTGGAAGTTTGATCCAGACGAAGAAGAAATAGGAGTAGATAACGAAAAACATTCTATAAGTGATAATACGTTAAATAAACAAAGTTCAAATCAAATTTTCAAAGGAACAAAAAAACGAAATCCAAAATATTGGAAATTTGATCCAGATGAATATGAAGAAGAAATAAAAAAAGAGCCAGTAGCTAAAGTTAAGCGAAACCCTAAATACTGGAAATTTGATCCCGACATCGAACAAGATGAAACTAAAAAAACGGCTGAAGAAGATAAAATGGAAGAAGATACTCATAAAATATCAGAAACAACTGAAGATATAARAATATTAAACGATAAAGAAGATGATACATCAAAACAGAACAAGTATTGGAAAACAAATGAACCAAATAAGGACACAAAAACAATAGATCAAAAAGACGAAGAAAAACCAAAAAAGAATAAATATTGGAAAACAGAAGAAATTGAAAACATTATACCCGATGAAATAATAAAACAAGAAGAACCAATCGCAAAAAAGAATAAATACTGGAAAACAGAAGAGACGGAAAAAMMAAAAGAAGTGAAAGATGAAGATAATATGACGTCTAAAAAAAATAAATATTGGAAAACAGAAGAAAAACCCGTAGACGCAGTAAAAGAAAAAATAATTGAAACTCAAAGAAGTATGTATTGGAAACTCGATGAAGAAGAAAAATTATCAAAATCAGAAAAACAAACTAAAAACGAAAATATTAAAACTACTGAAGGTAAAAAAGAATTCATAATAACTTCATTTATAGAGAGATTTTTATAAATGTTTGTGTGGTTTTAGATGAAGTCACAGTTGAAGAATACCTGTCTGAAGAAGATTTGACAATGGTAATAGTTAAATTTAATTTAATTATTTTTAAATCCTAATAAATTATGCATACTATCGTGTGTACTACATTTTATTGTTAAGCAAATTGTCGTTAGTTAATTTAACAATATAAAATTAGCTTTTTTAATAATGAATGTCCGAAAAAAATTGTAAATAGCAAAAAAAAAATTAAAAATTTGATGTGATAATTAAATAAAATCTTGTTTTTAGGATGAAGTAGTACCAAAGAATCTACGAAATAAAAGTCATATAAAACAAACATTAAAAATAGGTGAAAACACTGCACAGCATGATAGTTTTCTATCAAAAGTTGTAGATTCGACATTAAAAGAATTAAAAAAAGTATATGAAGTGGCAATTAAACCGTTGGAAATGACTTTCAAGTACAGAGATCTGAGTAATAGACATTTCGGAGGTAAATGAAATTATTCATATAAAATAAAATCAACATTATGACATAAYTAGTAATATTATACACGTGCTTATTCTTTATATGTTTTAGAGCCAGAAATATTCTCTAAACCACTCATTCTGTTTATGGGACCTTGGAGTGGTGGTAAATCTTCAATAGTTAACTATCTTTTAGACATTGAGCATTCTCAATTTGCATTAAGAACTGGTGAGTTATTTCATTACGTAGACTGAAATATATCATATTTCATTATTTAATTAATAATCTGAAATCATAAAATCAAARTTTATAATGACAATATTGTTTTTTGATTCGATATAATCGGTATGTGCTTTAAATTATAATATATTTAAAATTAATTTTTAATTTCCCCAAATCTTAATGATACAGTTAATGTACCTAATAATAAACCATGTACATAACCTGCGTATTTCTTTACGAACAACTGTACGAGTATCATTAATAATGATTGATCATTTCGTCAAACGCTTTTTACTTACCTAATAATATTAAGTAATCACCCAGTTTAATTAATACCAAAACTTGAGTTCGCAAAAAAAATACGYAAAGTGTATCTAATGCTTGGTTATGAACTGTAAAATTTACTAGATTTTTTTATTAAAACAGAAACTTTATAACATATATTTATAATCTATAAGCAAAATAATATATAATTTAGGTACTATTTATTTTATGTTTTATAGAAGGATGTGGTKGCGTGAAAGAAGTGAGTGTTCACTGTTTATGTGACACTTGGTACTTCAAAGATATTCGGGGGGGTTTATTTTAATTATCTTATAAAAAAAAGTCCCATGTCGCTGAAATTTCGGCTCGTTATATACAACCATTAACACAAAGGTACTTACACGAAAACGGTTATTTTATCAAAAATTGAATGGCACGATTATATAGGCCAGCGACGCGACGACCGCGTTTTAACGCTATTAACAGACGATGAAAATATCATGGTTAACCGCTCGCGGTTATCCAGAGCACAATGGTGACCACGATCACACAGTCAAGCCGAATTCATAGCAACATCGGGTCTGATGTCCATCGAGGCMGTGGTAACAACGGTTACAACTAGTAACCATATTGGTTTAAAARTTGAGCTGTGAGGGGGAGTTTACACTCACTACATAGTGTCGTGTAAATTAATTTTATCTGATTGGCTGAACCGTATATTATCACACAATACCACAGTAACCAAACGATACCGCATAGTTTGATATATTCGACTTTTAGCAGTGTAATTATAGTTATGTGCAGAAAAGTGATACCTAAAAAAATAATTATAAGAATATGTTATCATCTGGTACAGCATTCATATCATTGGTAATTRCATTTTAGTATACACAGGCAAAATGCACGATACAAACTTTGTAAGGCACACGATCTTAAAAAACAACGACACGGTGTAAGTGTGAACTCCACTCCACACTCCAACACTTAAGTCAATTTTTGGTATACTCGGTTACAACTTAGTTATTTCATRATACTAAAAACGTAACGTCCAATCACAATGCGATTTGTTCGACATACGAGTACACGACTTAGCTGACAGCTTTGRATGTGCCTTTCAGACTCATCAGAGTATGAAGGTACCATGGTCGAGGTGATTGCCGTAAATATTATATATTGATATAATCCACGTGCGATAAAATCACAGGACAAATTAAAATAGATAAAAAGTCGCGGTATAAAACTCTAAAAAACTTTCAGTAAAGAAAATTTTACCACTTGRTCACGAAAAATTTCGTYTCATATTAGATACCTACAACCAACGTTTCTATTGTATTGACTTGGGTGGGCGCCAACTATATTTTCAGATATTCTAGTGAACCTCCAACTACTTTTTCAAATTATGGCACACGTGTCGGTGTACTATATATTTAAGATTTTTTACAAAATAACTATGATTTTTTATATAAAAAACAACCGTTCACAAAATTAGTGTAAGTATTGGTACCTGATACATCTATTCTATACGTGATAATCATAATATACAGAYATATTTTATTATATGACTCAAAATTTAATTAATTACGTATATGTCATTGTTCCATCGTGAATTCTTAAKAAACTACCTACAAAAAAAATGTGTTATCCTAAAGGCTAAAATACAATAAAACTTTGATCAATGTATTAAAACTAAACAGATTATTTCTTCTTATACATTGTCTGATATATTTATGTTTGCTTGCATTTAAGGAGCGGAACCATCT